TCTACTCTGTTCCAATCTTATCCCATTGTCTGCATTATTTTTCTCAAGACTCCAAATATTTCTTTTTAAAGGGAAACGAAGGACCCACGTGTGCCTTTAAAACATAAAGCTAAGGGAGCACGGGCTCCACGGCTCCGGCTCATTCACAGCAGAGGCAGAGCATCACTCACCTGACTGTGCCTGGACTCCCCGTACTTCCCATTGAGGTTGGTCCGGTGGCAGTTCTTATACCACCACGCTCCCTTGTATGACATGGCACAGTTGGTCACTGCAACATCATTGTCTCTATCCTCTGTGGAGAAAGGGCGTCCTTGATGATAGCTGAGGGAGTCCCCTACAAAAAAAAAGATACATTCATGAGGCTGTCCCCTTTGTCACTGTTTTATCAGGATTTTTTGGACATTCGATCCACTTCCAGCAAACCTGGCTTCCACTTATGGAGCCTTCCACTTACCTTTTCATTTCTACCTAGTTTCCCAGCGTGGCTGTACTGAACTCTTACTCCACTTTATCCCCCAAGCCAACCATTTCCATTCTACTCTCTCCAACCCGCTTCCTAATCGCTTCTACTGCTTTTGCTGAGAACTTTCTCCACTCAGCTCCATCTCATTGTGCCTCCCATACCCCAGCTGTTTCCTCCATGCCCGCACTGGGACACAGCCACTCCCAGTTCCTCCTGTCTTTGGAGGAGCTAGAGATGAGCCAGGCAGAATTGAGCCATTCTGGGTCCCACCATGCAGTCTCAACCTGACTTCTCCCTGACTCACCAGGCCTGCTTAGATGACACCCAAGAACCCACGTTCAGAACTTGAGGCCACACAGGAAGAGATGCATCAGCAAACTAGAGTTCCCATCCATAAGAAACAGGATGATGAAAACCCATAACCATGTCAAAGGAGAAGTGCTTGGGACATCTGGGCTCTATCTTGGGGAAGAGTGGACTTCAGGAGGGAGTCATGGCCTGTGGTCACTCTCGCCAAATATTTGATGGGATACTAAGAAAAAAATGCAGTAAATTCTGTGGGGATTTATTAGGATTAGTAGGTGGAGATATAAAGATGGATATTTAAGCTAAATATACAAGGACAGAAATCACCTAAATATTAGAGGTGTTCACAAGTGGAATAGACTGCTGAAACAGGTGGTGAGATTTCCATTCTCAGGGGCAAGCAGAGGCTATGTGTTCTTTTCTGGGGATATTGTGCAGAGGGCTCAGGTAAATTGTGCATTTAAGGTGAGGGATTAGACTGTAATTAAATTATAACAATTGGTAAAACTTAGCAGGATCAGGACTTGTGGCTAGGGATGTTGCCAAGGGGGCTCATGCTAGTTATTGAATGAAAGAGGTCTTGGGTGCTTCTCCTTGCTTTAGGTGAGGAGAGACCTATTCTGATTCTGTGGCTTCTGCATCCAGGCTCACTGTGGCCACTCAATGCCTCCAATGCTTCCCACCACAACTTAACTCTCAAGAGATTGATCTTTATTTTATAGGGAAGGCTGACGCCCTTGGTGGGGGGAGGGGGCGGTTAACTCAAAATGTCATTATCTTCATCTTCCCCTTCCTGTCTTCTTCGTCTTCCCTTTCCGGCCTCCAGGGACTCAGCTTTTGTGCCCATCTGGAGTTAACCTCACCATCTGCAACTCACTCTTTCCCATCTCTTCCAGATCCTAGAAAAGGTAAAATATGTTTCTTACTTTTTCCTTTTTCTTTTGTTTTTAAAAACTTTTCACACCTTCTCACCCTAAGTCATATATATATATATATCCTTTGTCTTAAAAATTCTTAGATTAATCCTACTCCTTAATGATTATTTCTTTCACCATCAGTTCCTTGACTATGCGGCCTCCACCCACATCCTAGTTTCTCACTCCCTGCGTCTCCCTCCGTAATCTAGAATTTGTCCTCATTATTCCCCTGGAGCAGCTTCCACTCTGAGGCTGCCTTCCACTGTCACAGACATGCTCCCAATGTTTGTCTTTACATCCTCCCAAAGCCTGGCTTCCCTTCCCATTTCTGCCTCATATAGCTACCTCATGTGTTTAACACAATAAGTCCTGGTTTCTCTCTCTCAAACCACTGTTCATATTTATACCTTTTTCTTAATTCCCAACATTCGTCAAGGCTCCTGTTATCTCCTGTTAGGACTGATGCAGCAGCCACCAGCTGTTCTCTGTTCTTCACTTGGACTTACTTTATCCTATTCATGGCTGTCACAGGGATCTTCCTAAACCCTACTTCTGTTTTTTCTCCTTGGGACCTCCAATGGCCCTCCATTGCTACCATGTTAAGACTGAATTCCTCTGCCCCTTGGTTTTCTGGCTTCTGGATCTGGCTGTACCTACCTCACCAATCTTCTCTATCTCTCCTGAATTTATACTTTGCTCTGCTCTGCCAGGCCCTTCACAGCCTCCCATCCTCCACAGCATCTGCTCCTTCTGTGACTTCCAGGGCTTGATTTTCTTACCATGGGGATCTCAGTCAAACGTGGCTATGTGGCTGCCTTCATGATGCTGTCCTCCACCATAGAGACACCCCTTCTGTGAACACCCCTTAAACTAGAAGTGAGAGGCCAGGCATGGTGGCTCATGCCTGTAATCCTAGCACTTTTGGAGGCCAAGGTGGGCGGATCACCTGAGGGCAGGAGTTCAAGACCAGCCTGGCCAACTTTGTGAAATCCTGTCTCTACTAAAAATACAAAAATTAGCCAGGCGTGGTGGCATGTGCTTGCAATCCCAGCTACTCGGGGGCTGAGGCAGGAGAATTGCTTGAGAAGCAGAGGTTGCAGTGAGCTGAGATAGCGCCACTGCGCTCCAGCCTGGGTGAAAGTGTGAGACTTTGTCTAAAAAAGAACAACAACAAAAACCAGAAAATACTAGAAATGAGTACTATTGATTGTGTGATGAGTTACTTTCTGTTTCTTTTTAAAACTAGACATTCAGTTTTTGTAGAGGCCATGTTTTATGCTTCTTTTGAGTCCCCACAACTTGCACAATAAATTTTTAGGAGTTACTCAACAACTTCTGATTGATAACTTAATTTGGAATTTTAATTCTGATCCAAGTAGCGTCCTAGAGACTTGAATGTTTGCAGCCTCAGGAAATGGGGAGCAGGAGAAAAGACTGAACTTGGATCGGAGGCGGGGTACGGGGTGATTCAGTAGGGCCAGTAAAAATGAGAAACTACTAAAGATAAGGTCCAGCAGAATTGGGCGATATTAAATGCCAGAAAGAGAAGGGATGGGCTCTTCCTCCCCAGAAACCTTCAGATCTAGAAAGAACAACCATTGTGTGTTGTGGCCTAGAGAGGGTGGCAGCCTAAAGAAGCCCAGCTTTTCATTTTTTGAAGATGAACTGAATATTCCAGGTGAGAGATCAGACCCTAATTAGTTGATGATGAAAAGCCAAACTGTTGGCAGGATCTGCCTCTGAGACATGAGGGTAGCATGCAGTCCAACTGTTCCAGCCTCCATAGGCCCCGAAGCAAGACAGAGCTGGAACAGAGGGAGCTAGGGCCGGGTCCCCGCAAGGCAGATGAAAGCACCGGAGGATGAAGAGGACGGAGGGAGGGGGGCCTGCAGGGAACATGGAGGGCTTGCTTCTTTTCCTGTAGGAGAAATCAGAATGGCTTTTCTACAGGCACAATTCTAATCTTACAGAGTGAATAGCATCAGGTGATTTTTGAAATGATTTAGTCTGGCGTCTTGTTTAATATGCTCCATTTCAATGGCTATTTTATGCCCAAAGTTTGTCAAATTGGGCCTTTTGTTGGGGCACTTCAGGCTGATCTCATTGCTTTTGGAAATGATCTCAGATGTGAGCATAAGAAAGGAAAGCGTGTCTTCTCTTTGGAGTATCTGACTGAAAAGAGAAATAATTGAACAGATGCAGTAACTGGAAGCACAACACTTTGATGCTCCTCTTAATTTCAAGAGGCATGAAATTGCTGCTAAAATTATACACTAGCATTTAACCCTAAAATTGATGTTAACGAAAGGGCCAGTAATTCCATGTATCAAACATTAGAATATTTGGAAAAACAGGTTTTATGAAATGTGTTATAATAGAGTACAGGAAACAGGTTGGCCAAACCCAAGAAGCAGACTGGATGTTATGTTCTGAAAAAACTACTAATGCAACCAAGCTTGCTGAGATGGTTGTTCTGCTTGGTAGAAATGCCATAAAAACCTACACAGAAAACCCAACACCTATGTGGTTCTTGTGGAGGAATGAAAAGAAACGTGACCAATGAGGAACAGCTAAGTGGCATCATTTGCTCCTTGACCAGGTGTTAGCATGAATGCTGATGGCCAGGGTGGGGTGATGGGGGCATCTCAGAGAGGGGCAACATCATATGATTTGCACTAGCTCAAAGATGGTTTTCCTAAGTGTCATTGCATGGGAGATGTCTACCCAGACAGTAGACGATTCTGCTCTCACTGCGTAAGAGTCCAGATTGACTAATTTAGACAAGGAAAACAATCCTTTTTCATCTTCACATTGCATCTTTTTTAAACCTTAAAAGCACATTCACTCCACTGATATCATCTTTTTCCGGCTACTCAGTGAAGTAGGGCAGGCATCATTATTATAATTTCTCAGATGAAAAGAACTGAAGTCCTGAGAAGTTGCTTTTAGGTGAGCGGTCAGGGAGAGCTGGGACCAGAGCTAGAGGTTCCCAGTGGCATGGCCCTTCTCCCTGGCCGGCAGCGAATGCAGGAACTCTGCGGGTGCTGCTGCTTCCTGAGGCAGCTCAGGCCTAGAATGTGGGGGCCCTTGTCCCACCGCATGCCCGCTGCCCTTGGTGTCTGCTTAGGAGCCATAGGTACCTGCGGTGCCATTGTAGCTTCCTATGCGGAGTTTGTACAGGTTTCTGCTGTCCTCGACAGAGAACCTGTCGTAGGAGGCGAAGGCGGCCTCCTGGCCATCCCGCATGTCCACGCGCAGCTCATAGCGGCCCTGGGATGTGATCCTGTGTATGTTGTCCAGCCCTGTGGAGAAGAGCAGAAAATGCGCTGAGACTGGCCCCCAGCAGCTTTGGAAAATGGGAGGTAAATGCATCTGTGGCCTCAAAACATATTACAGGGAAGAGGAGGGGACTCCAGATTGCTTTTGGCCTTGGTGCTTCACAGTTTATTACCAAATGGACCCCGGCAGACTGAATTTCTTCTTGCAAAGAGGCCGGCCCAGCTCTGCTGATGAGTTCCCAACATGGGAAACTCAGGGGTCCTAATACCTCCTCTTGAGTCAGTAACTGACAAACCCTGAGCCTCAAGATTCCTGGCCCTGTCCCCTGTCACCTCCTCTGCCAAATCATGGTACTGGAAGAAAATTACAAGAGGTATTACATGGGTGTGAGTCCTTGGGTGTGAGTGATCGAAAGTAAGAGATGGAACACTAATTAGAGGAGTTCAGAGCCTCTGGGACATCTCCTATTAGCCTGCAGGAAGGGCTCTGTCCACTTTTCCCGACACTGCGTCTCCTGCCTTCGGCCTCCAGGCCTCCTGGGGCTCCATAGCCCGGTCATAGAATATGTCTCCATTCCCTTTCTCTCTAATCTGCCTGCTACATTTGCACTGTGACCTTTCCACTGGTATTTTCGGCCAGTTACCCTCATTCATCTGCTTCCTCCTTTGTTTCTAAGCTTCCCAGGCCTTGGTCTAATAGATTTTTGTAAGGCGCAAACCTTTGTAAGTTCACAGGTTAGGCAGAGTCCAGATCCCTCCTTGGTGATATTTTCTTACATACATTTTCTTGCTTGTTTGTCCTGGTTGGCCATGCCCTGGGACTCTCCAATTTTGATCTACCTGCCCAAACTTTGGACCATTCACCCTGTGTTGCTGGTAATCTCTCTGAGCCCTCCTGATTTCTATCTGCTTACTGAAGTAGGGTCACCTTGCTTTGCTGTGACATCTGATATCTATTTGAGTACGCCGTGACTTAGAATCAAACAATTTGCAGAGACTGTAGGGAATTTAGTGGGGACTCAGGCCAGTCTGTTTCGCAGAAGAGGAAACTGAAGTCCAACAGAGATGAAATGATTGGCTGAAGGCCATCCAGGTGTTTTGGCTTTCCTGTCCCATTTGAGGTTTAGAGCTTTGCCTTGATTGTAAGTCGAAGGCTATTTGACTGCCGTTTGCTGTTGGCTGAGTTGCTGACCCACAACCCAGCCTGGACTTGTGCCTGTGCAGATGTAGTAGATTCTGATGGTGCCCTGCCGGATGTCTTTAATTGTCAGATCCACCTGACAGCTGCGGAGCTGCTACAAGCATTGTCTGTTAGCAACTTGCAGCCACCTTCTTCTTGGAAAATTGCCCTTGACCAAATGGGAATCACTTCATCCTGGAAGTGAAGCTCTCTCCCCTCATGCCTTGTAGCAGACCTTCATCAATGACTAATGTGGAGGGGTACAAAAGCTTGGCTTCCTTGCCTAAGTGGTAGCCAGCTCTGAGGAGCAATTCATGCTCCCGAGCTTCCCTAGGGATCACACTGAAGTGAGTCTCCAGCCAAAACCACATTTTTGCAGCTTTCTCCGGCCTATTTTGCTTCCCCCATTCCCCTTCTCCCCAATGAACTCCCCAAGTAAATCACTTGAACAAGAATTCCTGTTTCAGTCTCTGCTTCTGTAGAACCCCATATAAGACATAAACTATGGGTCATAGTGTTATCCCCAACCTGAGTATTGCTGCCAAACTGCACCGCACCAGGCCTTGCCTCTGCAAGAACCCTCCCTGTCTCCCTCTTACCTACATCATCAAGTCAAGACTTCTCTTTGAGATTTTTAAGTTCCATGCTGTGCCTTTATTCAACCCACTCACCTCATCGTTTTCTTTCCCTCACTTGCACCTTTCCTCTCAGTGGATGGGTTTCCTCCCTGGCCTCAGTTTGTAGTTGTCAAAAGAATTCCTGCCTTCCCTCCTTTTCATCCCTTTTCTTCCTCCATTCTTCTGACTGACTCATCCCTCAATGCCTTCTCCATGAAGCTGGTCTCTTCCTTCTCTGAATATCTGTGGCCTTCTTTTCAGCAGCTCATAGTTTAGAACAGTGTTTCCCAGTGTGGATGGCATCTCTGATGACATGAGACATATAAGGCACTAAATAACCTTGAATAATAAGAAGAAAGGTATTTCCAAATTTAATCTCAGTCTTTTTTAATAGATGAAGGGGATATCTTAACCCTGATCCTAACCTTAACTCACAGTCTCAGTTTGGTTCTAGTATTTTCGTGGTTTGTTTAGCAGGCAAAGCATGAAACAGCTTCTAATCTCCATTTTTAACACCAGCACCACTGCCAGCAACAACAGTCTTGGAGTCCTTGTATTTAACTGTCATCAAATACTATTAATATAGTTTTCTTTTAATTGCATTTATTTTTGAGGCTTTCTTTTTTACTTGTGGCACATGATAACTAGCTTTCTATTTTTGGCAATGCAATAACATTTCTTCTAAAAATAGATTTAATTAAAGAGTAATCTATAGGAATTTCAAGTGCATGGTAGTGTATATATTTCTGGAAATATGGCACAAATTGTGAAAGTGGTATACAGCAGCTCAGCTTTGGGAAACATGAGTCCTGTCTGCTTATGGATGTATTAATTTGCGGGTATTACACTGGTCTCCCAAGTTGCTTGTTGATGCTTTGAAGGTAAGCATATTTTTTCAATTTGTTTGACTTTTATGTCAATGTTTTTATATGGCCTTTACCTTATATTTTTATTGTCTATATCAGCAAACACAAATCTGTGGATTTAATATGCACTCAATTAATTCTTATCATTGATTGATGTATTGATTATCTACGTTTTAGGTACCTCCTATTCCCCAGGCACTGTTATAGGTATATAGATAATGGGCTTAGAAGATAAATATGAGGTGATCCCAGCCCTCCAACAAAGCTCACATAGTAGAGACAGACAGGAAGTAAAATTGATACTATGATCTGTGCCACAAAAGAAGGAGTGGCCACCTCTCCCACTGGCAATGGGGGAGAAAACTGGTGAGGACTGGCTCTGTGGAGGTGCTTAGCTGGGTCTTTGAATATACACAGATGGCACTCACCACACAAGGCATGTAGGGGAGGGAGACATTTGGCTAGGAGTGCTCCTAGCATAGGAAGCATCGGTGGTTGTGCATGTGTGGAGTTTGGTGTTGGGGAAGGGTTGGGGGAAGAGCAGGTGAGGTACTCAGGGTATAGAGGAGGCTCCAGAGGCAGGTGCGAGAGGGCCTGTACTTTGGCTAAGGCATTGGGCCTTCCCCTGGTGGTAATGTGGAGCCATTGAAAGGTTTTACAAAGGGCATTGGCCATTGCTCAGATTTGGGGCGTGAGGAAGGTCATTTTAGTGGCCAAGAACCCACCTTTGCAAAGATCATGACAGGGAGAAAAATCTAGCATGGCCAATTCCATCTTGCTCTGGCCTCACTGGCTGGCTGCCCTCACTCATTCCTGGGCATAGGCCAAACTACCCATGGGAGGAATTTAGTTTATAGTTTAATTTTAAAGCAAGAATAATAGTCCCTCCCTAAAACTGCTCCCCTCCTTTTTCAGGAACTGAAACTACCTTTTTAAGACTAATGAAAGGCTAAGAGATTAGGATTATGGGAGGGGCGGTCTGAGTTCTGCTAAAGTGTAGGCAGAGTTTTTCTGTAATCTCTTACTGCTCAGGGTCATGTGGCCAGACGTTTGTGATTTTCTCAGTTGCTCTTACAGGTAACAGATAACAGTTGCAGATTGGTCTTTTAAGATGTTTTTTAGATTTTTGCATTCAGGCCACCAAGTGACCCTACTTGGACTGGTGACACATGACTCAGCTGGACCTGCAGCCCTCACCCAGATGGAGACTCAGTGCACAAGGACCATTTTCCATACTCCTATGATTTCACCCCAAACCAATTGGCACCACCCATTCCCTAGCCCCCTGCCTACCAAATTATCCATAAAAACCCTAGCTTCTGAGTTTTTGGGGAGATTGATTTGAGTAATAACTCCTGTCCTTCCACTTGGTGGCCTTGTGTTCATTAAACTCTTTCTTTATTGCAATAGTGCTTTCTCAGTGAATTGGGTTTATCTGTGCAAAAGACAAGAAGAACCTGTTGGGAGATTATAGCCATGTGGACAATGGGGTGGTCCTAGAGGCAGAGAGGCCAGTAAGGGGCTTGTTATCTAGGCATCCAGGAGAAATGATGAAATGAGATAGTGGCAGGGAAGGCAGAGAGGAGACCACGAATATGGAACTTGATAATTTTTTCCTCTACCTCTCTTTATCCATCACTATGAAAATCTAACCAAGAGGGAGACACAGGTCATAATAAATGGCCACTTTCCAGGATTTGGCACCACCAACATCTGCCTGGCTTGGGTGTGTGTTTACCGTCTCATACCAGTTTGGTTCTCAATCTGTATTTCCTGCTAGTGTCAGACCTCTAGGAAATTGCCAGTCACCTCTAATGCCACTTTCATTTTTTTCCCCCTTTTCCTTCCCAAGTCAGGTAATAACATTCCCCAAGGAGCTAAGCAGAGTGGCTGGCCTCATTTCTCCCCTGACCTGCGGGCTTGCTGGCTGGTTGTCTTGCTTCTGGGAAATGGTCAGCCAGCCTGTTGCTCCCTGTGCCCCTCCCCCACCAGGCAGCTCACTCCCTTTGTAGTAGCCTCCTGTCAAGACCCATCTAGTGACTATTAATGAGGATGGGAAGAGACAGAGAAAAGAGGAAAACACCACAGTAAGATAAAAACAGATCAATAGTGGAGCTAAACAGAGCAAGAGGTTCTGAAAGCAATTCACGAGCTGTCAGCTTCTCAACAAACATAGGGTTTCTGATAATCTCAGATGGACACAAAAAGGAGAGAGATGGACAAAAAGCCGGAGAAGCACATCAAGGGAAAGCAATAAGGAGAATTTACCCAGCCAGAACTCATCCTCCAGGTTCCCGAAGCCAACACGGTAATCAGCCCATTTCCGGAAAAAATCAGTTAGGCCATTTTGCCGCCTCTGAAATACCTATGAAGGAAAGAAAAAAACCCGAGGAGATGCTCAGGAGAATAAACTGTGATAAGTAAAATTGATATAACTGGGTTTTATATCTGCAACGACAAAGCTGTCCAAAGAAAGAACATTTCAGAGCAGAGCTCAGTATTTACACAGCAGTTTTTGTAGGAGACACTCGAAGCCCTTCTCTTGAAGTGTAGAGGCCTCTGATGAATAGGCTCCCGTGTGATGTTGACACTAATTTGCACCCCTGCAATGTAGAAAGGATTCAGAATACATATCAAGCCCCCAAATAGTCAGGGGAAATAGGCTTGGCTCTCAAATGAATCTTTTGCATTACAGAGTGCAGTAGAAAGCATTTCTCACTAAAAGAACAGGACCAACTTCAAATCAGCCAGTAACTGTCATCATCCTATTGCAGGCAAAGTAATATTGCATATCATTCACTTTCTGAGCTGTTTAAGTGCTTATTTCATTTAACCTCCAATATATCAGCCTTGGCTTCAATTTCCAATTATGCTCTAAGAAGGAGGCACAAATATGTCAGAAACATAAAAGAAAATGTCTCCCAAGAGTAGCTGTTATGAGCACATCACCATTCAAAAACTACCGGTTTTGTACCCGGAAACATCCACACTGTTAGCAGAGTGAGAGAGGGAATCTGAAGAAGGGTGGAGGGGCTGGTTTTCCATCCTACAGCCATTCGGCTAATGCTGGGCTGCTTTAGGGCCAGGCGGTGGGAACTCCTGGCCACCCCCACAGGGCTGCATTAAGGGGTGGGGCCCTTTGGGAGGCTGCCCTTATTTTCCCTCTCTCTGTATTGCCCTATCAGGCATGGGAGGAGGGTGGTGACAGGAAACAGTGTCTCTCTTTTCCTGACCGTGGTGCTCCCTGAAGGCTGTGACAGCTCTAGGGAAGAACCAGGGAGACCCCAGGAAGACTGGGGGAGGGGAATCACCTATCCATATTCGGCCCCTCATCTGTCTTCCCATACACAATCCTCAGTTGGAGGTTTCTGATCATCTCTCTGTGGCGGTGATCACCTCCTCCTACAGAAAACACTTTTCCTCAACTGATTTTTTGTTTGTTTTGTTTTTTGAGATGGAGTCTCACTCACTCTTTCACCCAGGCTGCAGAGCAGTGGCATGATCTCATCTCACTACAACCTCCGCCTCCAGGGTTCAAGTGATTCCTTTGCCTCAGCCGCCTGAGTAGCTGGGACTACAGGCATGCGCCACCATGCCCAACTAATTTTTGTATTTCTAGTAGAGAGAGGGTTTCATGATGTTGGCCAGGCTGGCCTCGAACTCCTGGCCTCAAGCGATCCACTCACCTTGGCCTCCCAAAGTGCTGGGATTATAGGCATAAGCCACTCTGCCTAGTGCCTCCACTGCTTTATTATAGATGCAGTTCTGAGCAGGGAAGATCCCTGGGCCTAACAGAGCCACAGCTCCCTTTCTCTAGCACCCTCCTGCTTAACTGTCCTCACAGAAGGAGGAGGAGGAAAGGCAGTAATCCCGAGGGCCCTTCATGGGGCCAGGCCATTGCAGCCTTGATATAGTTATTCCTTTCCCTGCCTGGCCAGACCTATGATTGGACTGCTGAACGAGGGCCTTGAGGGTAATGAGAAGCTCCAGGATGGACACGTGGGGGGTTATAAAAGGATGGCCAGAAGATGGTGAAGTTGGCTTGGCAGGTGCTAAGCTAGGTACACTAGAACACTGAGGATGCCTCCATGAAAGGAGAGCAGCTGCCTGTACTTACAATCCAGCCGCCCCCGTCGGTGGTCATGTCACAGTACACTTGTAACTTTTGGCTCAGCTCCCCATTGAGGAAGATGGTGTAAACCCCACTCAGAGTGTCTCCATTCATCAAATGCTGGGCACAGTCTTGAGGATGAGGGAACACCCGGCCCCCTGCAAGGAAAAAAGACAATGTCCAGAAAGGATCCTTTCTCCCACTGTACATAAAATCTCCTTGGATCATAGAAGGTCTTAGCGAGTCTCCTGGTACATCATCAACAGCTCTAAGAAATCCTCAACTGAGCTCAGGGTGTGGGTGTGGGGACTCGGCATCATCTTGCATTTCCCCTCCTCAACTGACGTTAGACTTAGCAGACAACATACAGTTTCATGGGATCTGAGGACCAAACGGCGGGACCAAATGGTGGGGTTCATGGTGTAGCTCCTCCAGTTACCTATTCATCTGACTTTAAGTAAATCAGTTTGGCATCAGTTTTCTTATCAGTAAAATGGGGATAATAAAAATCTCCCCCTTGAAGAGCAAAGATGTGTTAATGCAGCTAGTGATTGGTTACTCAGGCAATGATTACAGACGCATGGGCCAAAATACATCAGTGTAGGTGGACACCTTTCGAAAGGATGAGAGGCATCTAAGCAAAACTTTCTGTCATCTTTACAGTAGCCATTAAGGAATGCCCGAACAAGCTCAGCATTAGCAAGAAGATGAATTATCTATTCCTTGTACAAAATAATCCCCTGATTGGACTAAACAATCAAGTGGCCATGTTTTACAGTTCAGTTTAAGTTTAAGGAGAGGGCAGGGGAAGTAAATTGCAGCTCATCTTTCAGAGAGAACAGCCCAATTTGTAGAACAATATCTAATTAGCTGAAAGAGGAGCTTAAATTGTGTGTCTTGAAGCGCTTAGCTTCAGGGCACATTTTAATGCTGAGCAGGCAAGCCAAGTAGAAAGCCCATCGGAGGAGCTTTTCTGGACTGCAGGCGCTGCTAGAGTAAGCTAAAGGCAGAGCTTCCAGTGTAGGGAAGGGTGGTGTGGGTGCTCTGTAAATAGAATGATCTTCTGTGTTAACAAAGAGCATGCTGAGATTGATAGGGTTCTGCATCCTTGAACTGCTGCAGTCAGGAAGAGAAGCTGGGGAGGGACCACATGTGTCAGTCATTGCAGTGACCCCTAGTGGCAGATCTGGTGCACTACGGGTGTGACATAGGGCCTGCTGGTGGGTCAGAGTAAGTGACAGTACAAAGGCACCCAAGAACGGCGACATAGCAACCTCAACGAAAGCCCTGGTCATCTCAGACCCCATCATAGATCACCAGGGAAGCTTCCTGTGTCAGGAAGACGTGGTTGGAGTCGGTTCATGCAAGGCCCCCCTGGAGATGTGTTAAGTGCCCCCACACCAGGACTGCCCTTCAGCTTGCTGTCACACCCTGGTTGAGGGGATACCCACCTAATGTAGTTTAGAATAAAGGCAATGCAAAGGCGTATCTTACAAGGAAAGGCAATGCCTTTGTTCTAAAGGCAATGGTTATACCAGGGAATGACAATATATTTCTGTAGAACTTGTCCTTTACCAAGTGTTTTTATTTCCATTTAGTTCTTGCAAGAAACTTGAGGGGATGGCAGATTGGTATAGATATACTTATTTTACAGAGAAGGAAACTGCATGCAGAAAGATTACATGACTCAGATTGCTGGAACTCACATTTTCAGATGGGTTAAGTGCTCTTTGCACTGTCCTGAAGCAGGAAATGTAATGTATGATAGAATGTACTGAAGAATGACATCTATGCATACAGCAAAGGACTAATTAATACCTGTATTTACCTTATAAGCAAAAAACCCCCAAAGGTTAAAGATCTCAACAAGTTCTATGTTCAAATCAATTATGCATACCCTCTGAAACTGATTTCCTTAATAGCTACAGAAAAGTTAACTGTCATCTGCAGGATGTCCTAGAACTCTTCACAGTTCCTGATCCCATCTACCCCTAGAGGCTATAATTATATTTCAGGAGACAGGTGTGAGTTGTCCCTGTCCCCTCTCCCTGCTGCTTTGGGAACACTGCTATTATCTCCTGGCTTCCTGGTCATTCTTGACCTGGCCTCTGGAACCACTAGTCTGTCTGCCTTTCTTTCTCCCTTTTCTTCTCCCTGTTTGAGTTTCTCATTTTAGAAGATCAGCCCTTAGTGTCCTTGGTCTTCAGCTTTCTCCTAAGGTGTGCACTAATAGCCCTTTTTCCTGAAGAAGGGTTTCTTCATTAAATAAACTCAGCTTCTTAAAGGAGCCAGAACCCTAGATTTCTTTCCAATATCCAATGTGCCCCCAACAAAACATCTCCCCGCAAATCTCACAATGACAATCTCATACAAATACACATATAAATCCAAACGTCAGAATGGGGAAAGAAATGATCTCACAGAGGCTTCTTCATGTTGACAATGTAGGTTGATTTAATATTTATATTATAGGTACTTTTTACAGGCTCAAATGTATTAGTCACTTTAAAGCTACACCTACACACATCAGTAAACTGAGATGACTTCTCAGTAAACTGAGAAGATAACCTGAATGGCTATCATATAAAAGAGGGATTCATTTTTTTAAAGTTAGAAAATAAGAATAAAATTAGCTTAGGAAAAAAGTGTTTTCAAAGCGGTGCCAAAAGATTGGACGGGATAACTGTCCCAGATTACACCCTGGGAGAGGAAGGACCATGCTTTCTTCCTTCCAGGCCAGCAATGAGCCGGTCGGTGGGGGGCTCTCCAGATGTGTGTGAGGCAATGATGCATGGTTGCTGGGTGCTCTTGCCTTCCCCTTGACAAATTGCAAGGCCATTTGGTGGTTTATAGATTCCATTCGCTGTGATGTAGTCTGTGACATTAATGTAAAGACAATCAGCAAGCATTTGCTCACACAGACTATCAAGAGCAGCAACCTGGGAGTTTCACATCTTTGGAACTTGGAGAAGACACTGCATTTACAGCAAAATGATTCCTTTTCAAGCTGCTCCAGCCTGCAACCCTAGTCCTTGATCAAATTATTATTCCTTTTTTTCAGGCAAGAGAAAGCAGAGGCTCACTAATAGTTCTCAGACTGGGACCTTATTAAAATTCAGATTCCTGTGTTCCATAGAAGATCCAATGAATCAGAATATCAGAGGGTGGTGCAGGGAATCAGTGTTTTACTGAAGCTCTTCAGACAAGTCTGAAGACCAGCTGGATTTGTCTGGCACATTTTCCTCTTCTCTAGAGGCTAAGAGGTAGAATTGGTAAACTGAGCAGTGCCTCAGAGGAGCCCTGTGGTCTGTGTCCTCTGCTCAGACCCCTGTGGGTGGGTGGATAAATACTGTAGATTGAATCTCTGTCTCTCTCTGAAAGGAAGGTTTTTCTTCCTTTCAGTGCAATAACTGGAGCCTGGACCAATGAAGAATATTTCATTTAATTTTTATTTCTATTTTTAGCACAGGCTGTGGTGATTACCAAGTTAAGAGAAAAGCCACAACAAGTGTTCAGTACACTGAAACGTCTCATGGTGAAGTATTTCTAGATATCATTGTGAGATCGACAGGACCAGGGCATTCACCAGAAGAATTGCTTGGAAATTGGTTTGTGCTGGGCAGTGGAGGCTGAATGCTGAGTGGAGTGGAGCAAGCTACGTGACATGCAGTGCAGTCAGGGGGCCACCACTGCTGGGACAGACTTTCTCTGTCATGGCCCTGCCCCTTACTTGTTTTAGATTCTTAGGGGTGCCTTTAAAATGATCAGCGTTAATAGCCCTGGCAAGTGTCTGTCCACTTTTCTGGACTCCGCATCAGGACTGAAGCCACAATGTCAGCATTTGTCTCTAAAAACAGGGCAGATTTCTCGGTGAGTGCAGAACCCAGTGTTGCTCCATAGAAGCGCAGGCGGCCACCTCTGGCTATCAGCACTTAGATTTGTTTTTCCCAGAAGCCAGTTTGTGGTTGAATCTCCCTTGTTAGAATCAATGGCCCATGTCTGCAGAATAGCTGGCTAGACTGTCATGGGCAGTCTGAGTCTGAGGACAGGGCAAAGCTACCTGCTTAGCCCACATGGGCTGTCAGATCTGCCACTTGGCCTTCTCACAGCTTCTTCTAGTATGTTTACCTGTTTACGCTCTTATTAATTCAACAAACATATAAAAGAGTGTGTGCTCGGTTCTAAATACTGGGCTAAAAGATGGGAATACAAAGAAGGAAAAGACACAGTCACACCCTTTCAGGTTGCTCACGCTGTGATGGGAGAAACAAATATAACTTTGAGCTCTAAGTGCTCTGGGAAAGAGATAAACATTGGGGGCTGGCAAAACCTGGACGTGGGTGTGCAGTGATGCCTGGCTGGCAAAGATGGAGTAAGAAGTGGGGGCCTGGGATAGGGCAGAGGTGGCAACTGCTAATCAGAAAGTTATTTTAGGAACTGACATAGATGCTGGCCACAAATTGGTGGAGAAGGGTGTTCCAGGCCTGTGCACAAGCATGGCCCTTTTGGGAAACTGAAGGTTTAGCAGGAGACAGAGCAGGAATCCGGTGGGATGGAGGAGAGCGAGCCCTGGGGAGGTAAGTAGGGGGATTATGTCATTCATGGAGGCAATTGGAGAAAGAGTCTATTGGTGGACTTTAAGCTCAACTTGTTAGAAAGAACATTCTCACTGCAGTATGGAGAATGAATAAGATGGGGGTGAGCCTGGAGGCAGAACCCCATTCAGGATATACTAGTGGGAACCCAGGAGGAGAGTGACAATAGCCTTTAAAGGAGCAATAGAGTGAGTGGAGAATTGACTGAGCAAGACAGCTTTGATGTGTTCACCCTAAACAGAGCTCCCGAAGGTCCTCAGGCTCTGCCGACCACCTGCCTTCTACCCAAGGGCAAGTGCAACAGACATTCAGATCTGCCCTTCACAGGTCAGCTAAAGGCATACTAGTACTAGAGGAATGTTCTGACATCATTTGTCTTATTATTCCTTGGATCCACTTATCAGAAGACTCAATTTCATGGCAGATTAGGTTGATCACAGACTGGCAGTTGCCAGCCTGGCCCTTCTCTGTGGCTCTTGATTCACCATGGCCAGGGAGGGCTGGGTCCTGATGACACCTCCTGCTAGTCTCCCTTTGCAATTCTGGTTCCACCTGTATTCATT